AGGCGGTTGCGGTTGTGGTTGTGGCGGTGAAGATGGCAGCGGTGGCGGCCCTGGCCCTACCCGTACAGGTGGGTCTTGACTAAAACACTCACACATGTTGGTTACTAAAACCACAAGAGTTCTTTCTGAGTGCCAATCCAGCATATGTGGCACATTTATGAAACCTCCACTTCTAGCGTCGACATATGGATGATGTAACTTGATTGCCGTCTTGTTTTGGTCATCCACAGTCCCGTGCGCCCTTGGCGGAGATGTTGGATAGCTGAGCGACACCCATATCTCAATTGGAATTTTATAGGCCATGTTTGTGTAAAATATAGGAATGGTGCCTTTGACTACCAAAATTGCAGGCTCCTCGAGCTGAAACTTACCCCTGGTCAGGCCTAATGAAGGATATTGATCAAGAAATTGTATAACATCACTAAAGATCATGGGCCTAAGTTATTCTGAGTATGGGACGCGACCCTCAAATATTTCCCTAGTTGCATGTACAATTAGTTGTCGCTTGAGGGCTTGGTTCGGCTGTGGAATAAGGGAACTGTGAAAGAAGGTTCCGGGATGATCCATGGCAAAGCAACTGAGAAGTAAGAAATTGAGATGTTAAAAGAAGTCTCATGGAAAATCTGAGCTAGGCATTTCAACAAACGTACAATAACTCAATCCCTGGGAGATGGTGGTGGGATATCAACAACATGCAGAACAGCAGCTTCTTGGCTCGGGTAGATCTCATCATATTAATTTTCTTATCTTCTGTCTGGTGTGGCAATTAGCCCATTCAACTCTGATTCCTCATGATCAACTGATAGTATTGGTGGAGTTGGTGGTGAAGGAGCTTCTTCAGCAGTTCTTCTCCTCAGAATGGATTTGATGCACAATCACATCATCCAAAAAATCAAGACTCCCACCCGAAAGGAAAAAAAGATAATTTCTCCTCTTTTTTTCATAGCTACAAAAAGAAATTTAAATGAGTAAATAATAAAAATTCTAAAACCCAAAATACTAAAGCAAAACCAACTAGTATTACCTCAAATGTTATATCTAAACTCTCCCATATAGATTTAACTAAAATAATGCGTTAATGACTATATGTTTCATTTATAGATGATTTTAGATTAGACAAATGTATTTAGGAGAAAATGTCTGTTTTTAGAGGATATATAGCCTTCGGATGTTTTAGCTCAAATTACGGATTAGTATCTCAAAAAAAAATATTTGGATAGAATAGAAAGCAAACCACTCAAACAATGTTTTTAAGTCTAATAAGTGACATGAATTAAGCAAAGGATAGAAAATTGGAGGTTTAGAGTCAAACTAATACGATAATAGAACAAAAGTTTGCACAAAAAGCTCATGGTCATGACATTGGCACATGAGATGATGCATTGTTTGAATTTGGATTTAGGATTCTCCTTGGAAACTCACTGTTCCATGGGAGATGGTGGTGGGATATCAACAACATGTAGAACAACAGCTTCTTGGCTCGGGTAGATCTCATCATATTAATTTTCTTCTCTTCTGTCTGGTGTGGCGATTAGCCCATTCAGCTCTGATTCCTCATGATCGACTGATGGTATTGGCGGAGTTGGTGGTGAAGGAGTTTCTTCAACAGTTCTTCTCCTCAGAATGGATTTGATGCACAATCACATCATCCAAAAAATCAAGGCTCCCACCCGAAAGGAAAAAAAGACGATTTCTCCTCTTTTTTTCATAGCTACAAAAAGAAATTTAAATGAGTAAATAATAAAAATTCTAAAACCCAAAATACTAAAGCAAAACCAACTAGTACTACCCCAAATATTATATCCAAACATGCACCAAACCTCAAGTTGAGTTGAGAAGAGAGTTGTTGTTGTTCCTCCAAATGGTTACTTTTTATCTTTCTTTTTGGGTGGGTGTGCTTGGAAATAAGGGAGAGAAACCCTAGAGCCACAAGCACCACTTTTTTCATGTTGGGTACCATTCGGCTTTTATAGGAATCCAACATTAGTAAAGAAAGTAGGAAGCACTACTCACCTAAACACTCAACCTAATTTAAAATTTTGTATGCACGAAAAAAAAGTGTCAAAAGTAATGTAAAAATCAATTGATTTAAAGAGTTAAATTACACATTTTAACATGATCATATTTTGAATTAGGAAGATTTTATTGGCACCCCATTATTTACTTTTTGTACCCCATATTAATTTTAAACATGAGTAACCTATTTTACCCTTGTACATAATTACCGTTAAGGACAAAAAAATTAAAAATTAAAAATAAAATTGCTCACTACACCCCACATATGTTCATGCAACCCTAGTTTGACTTTTTTCTCAAACCATTATGTTCCTACAACTCTAACGAGATTTATACGTTTATATTGGTGAAAAAAATATATTGTATTTATTCGTGAAGGGTGAGATTGAAGTTAGAGAGGCTTCGAATGAGGTATGAGTTTATTTTTTGGCGTTTGGCAAGTTTAGGGTTTACGGTTGGTCACTGGTTGCGTTTAGCACATCAGTACCGAACGCGATAGGTAAATTCGGTGGGATGCCACCGAAACGTTGCACCTATTTCGGTTGTGTTTGACCGGTCATGAATATTATGGTGGAGATCCACCATAATATGGAACGTTGTTCAGTGGTTTATTACCGAAATTTTACATGCGTTTCAGTGGCAACAAACCGAAATTTATTTATTTTTTCAATAACTTATTGTCGACCACAAATTTATTTATTTTTTCAGAAACTTGTTCCATATTGTCTAATCCAAAAAAATTTAAGGTATGTACTACAAATGTTGTATTTTACAATGTGTTATTACCACATAACTAATATATTGTTTTATTTTCAGCTCTATAAGCCTCGCGAAAACCAATCAACGTTCGATACATGTATGCATATAGAGAAATTCCCTGAGGGTATTAGGAAGTATATCACTCACCCGACTGAAGTTCTTCCGGATGGTAACTGTGGATATAGAATCATAGCTATGGCATTGAGATTTGGTCATAATGAGTAGGGTACGCAAGGATTTGTTGCAGCAACTACATGATATGTCTTCTGTTTTTAATAAGTGTATTCGAGAACATAAACGGTACAACGAGATTGAGCGAGCGCTATATTATTTTGGTGATGGATTTGCACCATTATTTTGTTGGATAACCATGCCTCATATGGGGTATATTATTGCCACATGTTATAATGTGGTTTTAATCCTTCTAAGCATGTGTCAATGCCTTACATTTCTTCCTTTCTCAGTTCAATCAAGTGAAACCAAGCTACGTGAGATTGCTATTGGTTTTGTTGACGATGATCACTATGTCCAAGTATGAATATATTTGTTTACGCTACATAGTTTAATTTTATATGCTATGCATATATGAATGAATTCTTGTTATGTAGGTTCATTTGTCTCCAGATCATCCTATTCCACCAGTTTCTAGAATGTGGCATGAACAAAGTGACATATGCAATGTAATACATTTGTACTCGAGGTACCAAGCGCATGTGGATGCGTTTCAACAACTTTCGGGAGTGAAGAATGTAGCTACTACATATATGGTCATCCTAATGACTGACGAAAATGCACCCATTACAGAATTGAGATTATAAATCTAATAATTCTATTTATGTTCTTATATTCACTTTTTTTAGTGGGACAAACTTCATAACTAATCAAAACAACAAAAGTTCCATGAGTTCTAAGAAATGCATGGTAGCAACTCATTTAACCATGACGACGTTGATATGTCATGGTAGACCGTATGTTCTAAGAAATGCATGCTAGCAACTCATTTAACCATGACGACGTTGATATGTCATGGTAGACCGTATGTTTGTACCCTCTAAAATCTGATGCAAGGTCTCAACTGCTTGACATTGATATGTCTTGGGGAGCCGCTCTCTGTCTCCTCGTTGAGGCTGTGGGACGCTGTCTATCAGGTCGAGATGATGAAGCCTCAGCAATACCTCTGCGAGTCCTCTTCATATCTAAAAAACCAATATTAAGTATACACTCAGTAACGAATTCGGTAGATGATCACTAAAAAACGGAAACAAATTCGGTAGATTATCACTGAAAAAAGAAAACATATTCGGTGGAGTACCACTGAAAAACCGAAATACATTCGGTGGGCATCTCCTGAAAAATAGAAACAAATTCAGTGGACTACCACCGAAACAAGGTAACGATTTCGATGGTAACCCACCAAAAGTAAAATTAATTTTAGTACAAATCAGGTTCAAATTCAATGGACTACCACTGAAGTAATGTAACCAATTCGGTGGTAATCCACCGAAACTAAAATCCAGTTTCGTAAAACCAGGTTCGAACCAACCATACACCCACAAAGTTGAAATAAAAAATTAAAATCAGACTTTGGATTTTCAAAAGTGAAATCAAACCTAGGCTTAATCAACACTTAGAAACAAGTTTAGATGAATTGCCATTGCATATTTGAACAATAAAGAAAAGCAAAAGCTCCCACCCAAAAGGTAAACAAGATAATATTTCCTCTTTTTTTCCTGACTACAACAAGAAATTTAAATGAGTGAAAAAGTATAATGGCATAGTGATTTATCTAAGTGAAAAATTTATGTCACTACTATCTAACTATCTAAGCTATGGAGGTATTATTTGATGACATACTTGAGGGTAGCTTAATTACGGAATTGTTCATTCTATGAAGCCTTATATTTCGTTTCTAGTGGAAGGAGTTTACATAAAATAAAAATAAAAAAAAGGTAATGAATGTAATAAAAAATGAATATGTTAAATGTGTGTGTGTGTATGTGTGTGTGTGTGAGAGAGAGAGAGAGAGAGAGAGAAAGAGAGAGAAACAAGTTTAGATGAATTGACATTGCATATCTGAACAAGAAAGCTCAGCTTAGTATTTAGTACCACTTGCAATTACAAGGAACATAAGATATCATTTAGTAAAAGTTTCTCTACCATATCCTACAACCTTGTCCTCCTACGAACAACAAAAGTGCTAAGTGGAAAAAAAAATGGAAACAATCTCCCAAAAACTGCATAAATTACAAATATTCAAAACCAATACCAAAAAAGGAAGGTTGCTGGGCAAAATCCAGTGCCAAAATCAGATCTATCAACAAAGAAACACATGCACAAAGGTGGCCAAAGAAGATATATCAATCGAGTTGATTCCACAAGCCTTAATCAACGAAACATGTCTTCCCTCAATAAATGTTGGAGCAAAGTGGTTGAGATTTGTGCTCTAGTTTTTGTGCTTTAAAGCACAAAGATCAAAACCCAGTACAAAAGTCAAACACATAGATCTATCAAAAAAGAACCTTATGTGCTGGAGGAAACTCATATTCTTATCCCTTCCAGACTTCAGTTCCTCTGCTGCTCCTTTTGTGTTCCACTTCTCTTGGCATCTATAGTAAGCCAATTTTCACAACATGACTCACCATCTTCATTTTCTTCTATTTTGTCTTCATATTCTTCTTGTACTCAATCGGCTCTAGTTCCTGGAGTTGATGTTAGCAATGATGTGCTTTATCTGTATGAGCATGTGCTGCTAGGATACCCAGAATCAGAGTTGGTTCCACATGTACAACAACTGGTGGTGGTGGTGGTGGTGGAGTGCCTCATCCATGCTTCCCAGAATGATTCTGATACATTAGTACATTATCCAGAAAAGCAAAGCTCCCACCCAAAAGGAAAACAATATAATATTTCCTCTTTTTGTCCTGACTACAACAAGAAATTTAAATGAGTAAAAAAGTGGTAAATAATGGCATAGTGATTTATCTAAGTTACAAATTTATGTCACTACTATCTGACTATCAAAACTATGGAGGTATTATTTGATGACATCCTTGAGGGTAGTTTGATCATGGAATTGTTCATTCTATGAAGCCTTATATTTCTTTTTTAGTGGAAGTAGTCTACATAAAAAAGGTAATGAATGTAATAAAAAATGAATATGTATAGACTTATTACTTGACAAGAAAATTACTTCATACCAATTGTATATCCCTAACAGAAACATATAAATAGAACTGTGAGGACAAGATTTATAATTTGCCGCAAAAATGAGCTCGCGCGTAAGGATGAAACACACATATCAAACCCAGTGCCAAAAAAGGAAGGTTGCTGGGCAAAACCCAGTGCCAAAAAATCAAATCAATCAACAAAGAAACATATGCATAAATGTGGCTAAAGAAGATATGTCAACCTAGTTGGTTCCCCAAGCCTTAATCAATGAGACACATCTTCCCTCAGTTTATGTTGGAGCAAAGTGGTTGAGATTTGTGTTCTAGTTTTTGTGCTTTAAAGCACATAAATCAAAACCCAGTACAAAAGTCAAACACACAGATCTATCAAAAAACAACCTTATGTGCTAGAGGAAACTCATATTCTTATCTCCTCCATACTTCAGCTCTTTTGCTGCTCCTTTTGTTTTCCACTTCTCTTGGCATCGATGGTGAGCCAATTTTCACAATAGGACTCACCATCTTCATTTTCATTTATTATGTCTTCATATTCTTCTTGTACTCAATCGGATGTGGTTTCATATGTACAACAACTGGTGGTGGTAGAGGAGTGCCTCCATCCATGCTTCTCAAAATGATTCTGATATACTAGTACATCATCCAAAAAAGCAAAGCTCCCACCCAAAAGGTAAACAAGATAATATGTCCTCTTTTTTTCCTAACTACAACAAGAAATTTAAATGAGTAAAAAAGTGGTAAATAATGACATAGTGATTTATCTAAGTGACAAATTTATGTCACTACTATCTGACTATGTAAGCTATGGAGGTATTATCTGATGACATCCTTTAGGGTAGTTTAATCATGGAATTGTTCATTCTAGGAAGCCTTATATTTTGTTTCTAATGGAAGTTGTATACATGAAAAAAGTAATGAATGTAATAGAAAATGAATATGCATAGACTTATTACTTGACAAGAAAATTACTCCATACCAATTGTATATCCCTAACATAAACATATAAATAGAACTGTGAGGACAAGATTTATAATTTGCCTCAAAAGTGAGCTCGCACGTGAGGATGAAACGCACATATCAAACCCAGTACCAAAAAAGGAAGGTTGCTGGGCAAAACCCAGTGCCAAAATCAGATCTATCAACAAAGAAACATATGCATAAAAGGTGGCTAAAGAAAATATATCAACCTAGTTGGTTCCACAAGCCTTAATCAACGAGACATGTCTTCCCTTAGTAAATGTTGGAGCAAAGTGGTTGAGATTTATGTTCCAATTTATGTGCTTAAAACACACAGATCAAAACCTAGTACGAAAGTCAAACACACAGATCTATCAAAAAAGAACCTTATGTGACCACTAAACCTCAAGTTGAGAAGAGAAATGATGTTGAGAAGAGAACGTTAATGTTCCTTCAAAATGATAAATATGGTAGTTGAGAAATTGGTTCCTTTTTATCTTTCTTTTCGGGTGGGTGCAGGCTTGAAAATGAGGGAGAGGAAACCATAGAAACGCAAGCACACTAGTATGATGAGAGAAAGGAAGGGCTTTTAGAAACCCTCTCACACGGGGTGGGCTCCACCCATCAGTTTTTTAATTTGCATGAATGCGGATGCGGCCAGGGTGATTTGGTGGGAAAACAAACACTTTGTCTGCAAACTAGTGGATGCAGCTACAAGCTAGTATTAGCTAGGTATGACGATGGACCGATTTGAAACAGGGTATGACAATACCATCCTCGTCTCCGCCCTTATCCCCCGATAAGAATTCTAATGTGTGTCAAATACACTTTTTAAAGTGTAATTTTATTTTCTTTCTTTACACAGACATAGCACAAATTTCTCAAAACCTAAGTTTCAGGTCCCACAAATCAAACTGAGTTTCAGTTCCCCAAATAGTTGATAAAAATTCTATAACCCAAAATACTAAATCAAAACCCACTAGTACTACCCCAAATAGTTGCTACATATTATATCCATATTTAACATAAATAAATCCGAAGTCCCAAATAATCAAGTAAGTTTTCGAATCAACTAGATTTATATATATATATATATTAAAGACGACAAGATTTATAATTTGCCATAAAAGTGAGTTTGCACGTGAGGATGAAACACACATATCAAACTCAGTACCAAAAAAGGAAGGTTACTGGGCAAAACCCAGTACCAAAATCAGATCTATCAACAAAGAAACATATGCATAAATGTGGCTAAAGAAGATATATCAACCTAGTTGATTCCATAAGCTTTAATCAACGAGACATGTCTTCCCTCAGTAAATGTTGGAGCAAAGTGGCTGAGATTTTTGTGTTCCAGTTTCTATGCTTTAAAGCACACATATCAAAACCCAATACAAAAGTCACACACATATCTATCAAAGGAGAACCTTATGTGCCGGAGGAAACTCATGATACTCTAAATAAAAATAAAAATAGAAATAGAAAAGGAAACAAAGGACAGAATGACCACCAAACCTCAAGTTGAGAAGAGAAATGTTGTTGAGAAAAGAACGTTGATGTTCCTCCAAAATGATAAATATACTAGCTGAGAAATGGGTTCCTTTTTTATCTTTCTTTTTTGGGTGGGTGCGAGCTTGAAAATAGAGAGAGGAAACCCTAGAACCACAAGCACACTAGTATGATGAGAGGAAGGAATGGTTTTTAGAAACCCTCTCACACGAGGTGGGCTCCACCCATCAACTTTTTAATTTGCATGAATGCGGATGCGGCCAGGGTGATTTGGTTTCCTTTTTTCATGTTGGGTTTGGCTATAAAAGGAAAATTTCATAGACAAATGGCGTGAGGTGGAAAAACAAACACTTTGTCTGCAAACTAGTGGGTGCAGCTACAAGCTAGTACTAGCTAGGGATGGCAATGGACATCAAGTATGGTAATACCATCCCCGTCTCCGCCATTCTCAAAATGCAAAAAGTTTCCAATTTATGTACACACCAATAACTACAAAAACCGCCTAACGAGTTGGTAATTGCAAGTCTAAACTCTAAGATGAGTCGAAGATGAACTCAATGTCAGAGCTCAAAATATCATTATAATTAAGAAAATCTACCTTAATGAGTCACAAAATTTTCAAACATAAACAATAATATGTCAAAAATGAAAGAAGAGAAAGATACTGAGATTACTCGAATCCCCTTAGCTGACTTTGGAGAGAGACAAATGAGGCTTAGTTGTGTAAACTCAATATATATAAAAATTAAATAATAGCCCACCACTTTTTCTAGAAAGCAGCCCACATCTACAGCCAAATACTTTAATACTTCAATTACTAAAGTTTCTCTCTCTCTCTCTCTCTCTCTCTCTCTCTCTCTCTCTCTCTCTCTCTCTCTCTCTCTCTCTCTCTCTCTCTCTCTCTCTCTCTCTCTCTCTCTCTCTCTCTCTCTCTCTCTCTCTCTCTCTCTCTCTCTCTCTCTCTCTCTCTCTCTCTCTCTCTCTCTCTCTCTCTCTCTCTCTCTCTCTCTCTCTCTCTCTCTCTCTCTCTTCTTTGGTTTATTTAGCTTTTGATTTGGCTCAAATAATGTTTATATGTCTCTTTGATTTTGTTTTTTCGAATTTATTGATGTTGCTTCTTTTGGAAATTTTTAAATATGGACCCTCCCTAACTAAATCACTCTGATAAGCTGAAGTCTTCGAGTTTCAAATTGTTCTTCGTCTAAGCCTTTGAATTTTGATTTTTCTAGGTTTTCTTTGTTTGTTGTAAGTTTCTTTGTTCAGATATCTCTCTGGAAATAGTTTTTTTTTTAATGACTTATGAAAATAGTTTTTAATTTGAAGGAAATATAGTGAATTAGTCAAAAAGTATACCACTTTCATTAATTTGAAGGAAATATTGCTTCATATATATATAATTAGCCCACCCTCACTGGCGGACCCATGAATTTTTTAGTGAAGGTGCAATTTTGAAAGGCTAAAAACTCTTAGTGGATTGAACGTCTAAGGCATTTTACCTAGATTGACCTTAGGTCCCTTCATACATTCATATCATATATGAAAATTTGTTTTATGTAAAAATATTGACTAAGTATGAAAAATGGTTTTTCAAAATAATCATTTTCTCAAGATAATTTTTGGCAGCTTTTATTCCTTACACATCAAATAAGAAAACTTGATTTTATGGGATTTTAGTATGAAGTATATATTGACTTAATGAGCCATCATTTTTAGCCTAAATCGTATTTTGCACTAAAACCGATTTTTCATATTTTAATTTGGTGAGAATTTGATTTTCTAGTATTTTTATTTGAATCCAAATGGGGGGCACTTCCTTATTTACATTGTAAACTTAAGTAAATTGAGTAATATAAAAATAAATGAAAGTAAAAGGACAAAGACATTTACTTAAATGCTGAAAATGAAAATAAGGTAATATACACTTGGAGTGCACCACCGCCAACTAAGCAAATGGGCAATTTGAAGCACCTACAATAGTTTCTCATAATTATGTGTTTGATTGATTGTACAGGCCTATAATTGTATAATAGACATATTCATAAACTCTTGTAACCTTAAAGCCGACTTGAATTTTAGATCGACGACATATTGAGAGGATATCGACATAATTAATTTTTTGGTGAACAATAACGACATAAAATTTTGTTACAATAATAGTGGCGTTTCTGGATGGGAGTATTTGTGGTATTAGGATTTGGGAGCATTTCTCACATGAACACAACAGTCCAATGTCCAACGGTCCGACCACTGCAACCAAGTACCATATACATTGAGAGAACCGCAACTTTTTAATTTGATCTCAGTCCTCCTAATTGGATTTCATGCTTCAAGGCTGATTTCTTTATAAATTCCATATTTGGGTCAACTGATCTGATAAATGTATCCAGTTTGTGTAAAATCACAAAAACAAAACAAAAGTAAAAGACAAAAAACAATGTACAATGTAATAATGAACTGGATTTGTGATTTTCGAACTGCACTTGAAATTTGTCATTGCTCACAATGTACATAACGTTATGGTCACAGACAAATTGTTTACCTAGAAAGAAACAAACATTGAACTGCGAATAATACGAAGCACTTCACATCACATCCATCTAAAATTCACCATTTACCACTCTCACTCTCTCTCTCTCTCTCTCTCTCTTTTTGGTTGTGAGAAATGCTCAAAAAGAGAGAGATGGCAATGAGGACAAGTTCAAAAAAAGAGCCAAAGAAGCTGATGGAATTGAACCCACCCCAACAAAACCTAGTCCACTACAACAAGCAGTATTGGTTCAAGCAAAAAGCAGCTGCTGCTGCTGCTGCGAGTGTAATTCCAGCAAAGAGGAGGTCAGTGAAGAGAATGATTCTTGATGATTTTCTCCAATTTTGTTCTTCTCTTTTCAAAACCAACAACGCTAAATCGACTCAAACACCAAGAAGATGATCGGCAACAAGATTTTACCCAACCCCAACATTCTAGCACATGTTATATGCAAATGTAATTTGCTGTCATTTTCTTACTTGGTGTAATTTATACTTAATAATTGTGATATATATATATAATCTTGAAAAAGAAAGGCTTGAATTATTATGGATTTTATTTATAACTAAAGACAGGATTTTAGATTGGTGTGGCATGACATCAAGTTAGCACAATGTTGAATAATGTTTTCCAAGAATAAATTGCAGAACCACCATATGAGAAAACACCAGGAAGGAATTAACCAAACATCGGTTTTCTAAAAATATATATATAAAAAACGTCTAGATATATATTATATATAGAACTTTTGCTACATAAGCCGTTTGGTAAAAGAGCCATATATATATCTATCGTGCATAATACTTTTCCAAATTTCTTGCCAATTTGAAGCTGCTCGGTTGTTTTGTATGAGGGATCAAAACCGCTAAAACAAATACTACCACCGAGTGGAACAAATAATATAAAATAAACAGTGACTTAAACTTGATTAAAATTAATTGTTTTCTTATACATAAGAAAAATAAAATAGCAGAAAAGGGCTTAGTCAGGTTGGTTAGAGCGAATGTGCTCTCCACTCTACACTCAAATTCGAATCTCCTCCTATAATTTAGATTAGATAAAAATAGAATATTGATTGTATCAATAAAAAAAATCAAAGATAAAGAACAAAGGACGTTGAAGGTGTGATTATAAGAAATTAAACCGATTTAACATTAATATTGCCATCTCTTAATTTCTGCTTGATTATAGTTATTACCTTAATTATGGATTATGTTGAACATATGAATCGATCATCATGTAGCTAGGTCATTTTTCTCCAGTGAGAGACTTCCTTTTGCACTTTCATTATCAACATCTTCTTCCATCTTAGGAGGCAGACGTCTTGTGTCAACGATACACTCCAATGTCTTTATGAAGCCATATTCTTTAACAGCCCGCATACCCTCGTTGAACCCTTTGCTATAAATTTCATTTTTATAGTTTTTCATAAGTTTTGCTTAATATTTGTTCAAAGTTATAGGGATAAGCAGTCACACTCACCTAAGGACCTAAAAATAAAAACCTATGAGGTCCTCTTTAATAAAGGCGCTTGGATTAATCTAATGACACATATAGTTAGTAATCTTAACCTTCCCTCGAACTCCTTATTTTACTCAGTCTTTTTAATTATTCTAATTTGAAAATAAATAAAAATAAAAAAAGGATGGACGTTCCCCATCCATCTCTCCGTACGTCTTCCCTTCCTCTCTCTGGTCAAACAACAATTGTTGGCTGCATGCATAAATCAACGAAATAATTTTGCAAAATAATCCTTTGGCTGCATGAACGAAACAATTGGGCATTTAAATCGCATATTCATGCTTTCTTTATATCATGGCATGCCCATAAAGCCAAGATCTACACCCTATTCATCCTCATGTCATGCTAGGGTTTAGACCCAGCATAGCCACCACAAGCTATTCATACTCATGCCTGCAGGAGGCCTTTTTTTTTCAGCCATAACCTTTCCTCAGAAGTGAAAAGAAAGGAAAAAGAAAACAGAAAATGGTTATAAATTTATTTATTTGTTTGCTGAACAAGAGTAAGACGAAGAAAGAAAGAGGGAGGAATGGGATGAGGGGGAGAAGATGGATGTGAAACATGCATCTCTAATTTCTTTTTTGGGTTAGAATAATTAAAAGAATTGTTTGAGTAAAACAAGGAGTATAAGTGAGGGTTAATTATGTGTTTGGATTAATCCAAGGGTTTTTATTAATAGGACCTCACATGTCCAAAAATGAGTTAAAACAAATGCAACGTCAAAAAGCATGAAGCCTACTAAAACTGAAAATAGGCATAAAGCCCACAACCGGCAGAGAGCCAACTACTGGCATATATGTGCAAGTTTAGTTGATATAGTCTTGCCGTCTTTTCTTTTTGGTTCGAAAACCTTTGACTCCATCCAGTCCGGCCGTCTTTTCTTTTTGGTTCGAAAACCTTTGACTCCATCCAGTCCGGCCGTCTTTTCTTTTTGGCAGACATCTTGCTTCAACGATATGCCCCAGTCATATCGTTTGGAAGCCATGTTCCTTAACAGCCCGCATCACCTGATTGAACCCTTTTCGATAAATTTCATTTGCATGGTTTTCCATAAGTTCTGCGTAATACTTGTTCAAATGTCTTGTAAATTGTGTGACATTACTTGTGTGACAATACTTCGCAAATACCTTCTTCTACGTACACCAATTAGACCTTCAAAAAAGCACCATTATTAATAAAATAAAAATACAGACAGAACCAACCATATATACTATATATATATTAGACATTGCTTGGCTCTTGAGTCTTGAATCACGAGCAGGAGCTAAGCATTGTCCTAATAATGGGCCTTGCATTCCTGTGGATCTATGATAGTAATAGAATATAGCAATCTGAGCAAAGTTGTCGCCCATCGCCAAACTCCACATATTTTATTTTTGGTTGCTTCATGATATCGATTAACCAAAGAAAACTTAAATATTAATTTCAAACAACAACAAGAAAGAAAAAAACATGTTAATTGAAAAAGGAAAAAAAAACATAATTAGTATGTTCCACAAACCTTAAATCTATGGCAAACATTGCACTGCAGAGTCCCATCACTGAAATGTGCCACACAATGTCTTTGGCCCCAAAATTTATCAAGCGACATGGCTTGATTTTTTAGCGGGGGGGAAAAGAGCTGCTTATTAGTTTAAGATAACCCAAAATGAAAACTGAAAAAGAAAAAAAGAAATACTTACAGGTTGGTGACAAATATCGCAAAAGTTTGCAGACTCGACTCGTGACTTTAATTATAATGCAAAGAGACTGAATCTCGATGAATGAGTGATGTATGATCGATATACTTAATGGAATTATCTATATATTAATTAATTAATTGGTAGGAAACTATTCCTTCGATTGAATTAGTAGTGTATATGTGGGAAGAGCTAGGTTTTTATATAGATGTGTTTTGAATTTGAAGAGATTGTATTGGATTGGATTATGTCTAATCCTAAAGCCGAATGTAGTAGAATTATGAATCCTATCAAAATGTTGGGATTAAGTTGAATTGGAGTATGTCTAAAATCCTACTAAACCAAGTAATAGTATATTTTAATTAATCCAATGGACCCCATAATCATATTTAGTATCAAACACATCATTGAATTAGTGTTATCATTTTTAATCCAATGTAATTAAATGCAATCCAATTCTACCTCATAATTCAATCAAATCACAGCCACCAAACATCTACTAAAAAAAGGGATTAAGGCAACAATTTGCCTAGCCACGAACCAGCATTGACTATTGGTATGTAATGGCCACGGTTACTGTGCATCTGTAGCTTGTAATATATAAAAAATAGTGACTCCGTGGCTGAAAAACAATTAGTCACAAACGTAGTGGTCTAATTGTTTTGGACCTAGATCTAAGAAGCACTAGAAACTACGCTAAAAAGTGTTCATTAAAGTCAGAGGGGACCTTTTGCCTTAACTCCAACGCAGAGAGAGAGAACATCAAAGTCATGGCCTTCTTGACTAGAGAGAGAGAGAGAGAGAGCTGAAAATAGACCAAGAGGGTTGGTTTGATTCAACAAGCCTCATTTCTATAAAATTTTAGGCTTTTGAATGGAAAATTATCAAATGCGTGTTTTTGACTATTTCATTAAAATTTCAATTAATAAATCTAGCATCTTTTCTTACCGACTTAAAAAGTGATCACACAAAAATCCCTCACAAACTCTGTTTTTGAGTATTTCATTAAGATTCCTTGTTCCCTCAATTTTTGATCCAAGAAAATGGCAGAGGCATTAACAGAAGCTCAGATTTCTGAGTTCCAGGAAGCCTTTTGTCTAATTGACAAGGATTCAGACGGTGAGTTATGTTTACAAGTTCCTGTCATCGTATCGTATACATCATTCCTCTCACAACCATCCATCACATTCTCGTGTTGTGATTTGAGTTGATTATGAGACGATAACTTAAGCAGACATCAATTTCTGTATTGAGAAGTACTGCTGGCAGAAGCACTTATCTGAGGTAGTTTTTCTTTATATTTTCATTTTCTGAAAAGTGATTAACTGGCATATGCAGGGCTAATTTCCTTGGAAGAACTAGCGACAGTGATCCAATCACTGGACGAACGTCCCACAAAAGAAGAAATCCAAGACATGATCAGTGAAGTTGGTGCTGAGGGAAATGGGACAATAGATTGTGAAGAGTTCTTGAATATTATGGCAAGAAAGATGAAGGTAAATTAATCATCATAATATGAACAAAACATGTTTTTTTTGCTAATTAAGGTTTCGGAACCAGTTTAATCAATCTGTAAAGCTCATCACAGGAAAATGTTGCTGAGGAGCTGAAAGAAGCCTTCAAAGTATTTGACAGAGACCAAGATGGCTATATTTCAGCCTATGAGGTAAACATACTGATTTGACTTTCAATTTTTATTTTTATTTTTGGCCTCATTGTCAATGCCAATATTATAAATTATTATTATTTTTATTTGGTAGTTGAGGCAAGTTATGATAAACTTGGGAGAAAGATTGAGTGATGAGGAGGCTGAGCAAATGATCAGAGAGGCGGATGTAGATGGTGATGGTCTTGTTAGCTATGAAGAATTTGCAAGGATGATGATGCTCAGTTGATCTTTTTACCGGAGTAATAGAAATAGAACTTTTGGTCAAATTTAATCATGTGTTTAAATTAAATCCATCATTTATGAAGCCATTAACGCACATTCTGCAATTATGGTTGTAATATATAGAAAGTGCTCCTTTAGTTATGTCCTCAACTGCAAAAGGACCAATTGGCAATAATTTAAAGACATTATTGACTTTTCAAGTTTCATTTGAGAACTTCTTTTCTTTGCCAAAGTGAGGAAGAGGATGGGGAAAAACTCACACACATGAGTACCACAAATACTTAAACCTAGGAGCACTTAGCGAATCCAACCAACACCTTTTTCATTTGCGTTCTCAATCACTTAATTTTGCAACATATTGCAATGAAACTTCATAGGTGTATTTAATTGGGATTTTAATATATTGTAATTACAGAATTTAGGGTAATTTCAGTAGGATTTGCTAATTTTACTAATGATTTTGAATTCACTTATAATTTTTTTGTATTCTCCAAAGAATCAAAAGATTTGCTATCTAAAAGATTTCATATGAAACAAAATCATGTAATGTGGATTAATTATGCCATATGGATAAATAACCAAATAAGAAAATAACTATAGGTTAGTGACAAATATCACAAAAGTTTGCATCATGGCTATTGACTTGACTCATAACTTTAATTATAATGCAAAAAGACTGAATCTCGATGAATGAGTGATGTATGATCGATATACTTAATGGAATTATCTATATATTAGTTAATTAATTGGTAGTAAACTATTCGTTGGATTGAATTAGTAGTGTATATGTGGGGAGAGCCACCTTTTTATATAGATGTGTTTTGAATTTGAAGAGATTGTATTGGATTGGATTATGTCTAATCCTAAACCCAAATGTTGTAGGATTATCTTATGTAGTACTAAATACATCATTGAATTGATGTTATCATTTTTAATCCAATATAATAAAATGCAATCCAATTCTACCTTATAATCCAATCCAATCTTAGTCAACAAACATCACTACCGAAAAAAGGAGCTGATAAGGCCATAATTACTTAATCACGACGAACCAACATTAACTATTGGTATGTAATGGCCACGATTACTATGCATCCGTAGCTTGTAATATATGTGTCACAGTGACTCTGAGGCTGGAAAACAATTAACCACAAATGCGGTGGCCTATGGAATACTTTGCCACATCCAGCCGTGGCCAATTGTTGGTTGGTCAGTCCATCTGTGACCAATTTATATATGTCAAAATAAAATACTTTTTCAGGGTGTATATATGATGACCAATGAGTAATATCCAAGATTTGATGGAGTGGACTTTCCATTTTTGTATTTTTGGGAAACTTTCCATAAATTCAAAATGGGCCCCTTTTTATCTACTTTTGTTGAGTTCGTTTTGCTGCATGTGGGCTATCTTTGAGATTGGGTTGACATGTCGTTGAATCCACCAAGGCCCTAACTGTGTTTTGACTCGACTCCTCTAAACCTAGGCCAGAGTCCAGATAGAAACCTGGAGAATGGTCTACCCAAAAAAAGTGCATAAAATTAAAAACGCGGTGGATTTTGTGGTCACTTTTGCATTATTTTATTTTAGAGATTTTTCTGTGGATGGATGGAACCATTGCATTTTTATTTACACGTGCGAGTTTACTTTTGTGGCGAATTATAAGTCTTTGTCGTCTTCTTTTCCTTTTGATTGGAGAACTCTTTTGCCGTCTGGAAATTGGGATTTATTTATTTATTTTTAATGTGGGAAGGTGATTTTGGATATTATTTTATTCATTGGGTGTCTGGGCAATGACAGAAACAGGATTTTTTCTGGGGATGTGCTAATTATTTTTTTTGTATGGAAGATTTATGTAAACAATGAGAACCAATTTTTTTTGGTATGCTAATTAATACAATGACAACCAAGTGGGAATTAGAACTGAAACTATGGGAAGTAGAAATACAAACAAAAGCACAATTAGTAGCAATAGCATATCTAAAGAATTTAAACCAAGGCATAAACACTAAAACTTTGTTGCACTTGCAGATCTGGATGTGAACCTGTAAATCTCGTAAATCGGAAGAAGAAGAGAGAAGAAAACAATAAGAAAAGAGAGAAGAAAGAGAAAGAGGGGAGAAACAAGGAATTGATAGTAATGTTTGAATATCTCACCCTCTCTCTTTCTTTCCGTTTGTTTAATATCTCCCCCTCTCTTTTTTATTCTTTTTCCTCCTCATCTCTCTCTCTCTCTCTCTCTCTCTCTATTATTTTTCCTTCCTCTTCCCCTCTTCCTCTTTTCTTTCTTCTCAACCGGTTGATTTCTTGTCCATGACGGGCTGATTATTTGATTGGTTTGGATTTAGCCTACACTAAGCCTAATCTCAGAGTAAACACTGTGCTAGAGCATACCCCAACCACCCCCTAGTTCCGCCCTTGTGTCTGGGGGTTTCGAAATTCTGCCCTCATGAGTAAAGGTGGAGACTTTTGATAACATGTCCAAGTCTCCTATTTAATATTTTAACAATACCAACATAAGAATATAATAATGACATCAACATATTCTCCTATCAAGTGTTTTGTTGACACCAAATTATTCTACTAAATACTAAACGACATAAAACTTTTGGCTACCTCTAATGGATAAAAGGAAACCAAACCTTATATGTTTATATTATCCACAAATGCAGCAAATTAAGGAAAATCATATTCAATCAAATGTTTTTTTTTTTTTTTTGGTCAAAGTTCAATCAAATGTTTTTAACACGCAAAATAACAAGCAAAAAAAGTACGTTTTTTGGTTTCCAATCCCTAGCCACTAATATCAAAATCAATAACATCGAGAACACCGCGGCTTCAACATGATCATAGACTTGTCAACCCTATTTGGATTTTAGACATAATCTATTGGTGGATATGTGCAAGCTTTTGTGCCCTTTCTATTTCCCAAAGAGGTGTGGATTATTTTATTGAAGGGGTCCAAAACTTAGAAACAATGTGGGCCCATATAAAAATAAAACTATATAATAAATTTGTATACCATGTAAATATATCATAGAGGTGGATCCAGCTGTATTATTTTGATCCAATTTGTACTAATGATCTTGGATCTTGTTAGAGATTCTCTCTGTTATGTAAATAAATTTTTATGTAACGTTTCTTAGAACGCGTTGTCTATGATTACCAAAAGAAGAAAACGCGTTTTGTGTTTTGTTTCTTTTTCTCCCACTCTTTCTATGTTATTTAAACGCCTCACACTCTTCACCAAAGTATCAAACACACACACACACACTGAAACAGGAGAGATAGATAGAGAGAGATATTGGCCATGGAAATGGAGAAATGTTCAGAAGCAGAGAAGGGTTGTTTGGAGTTGAACCCAGATGGGGAAGAAGACAACAAAACTGAGGAGCTAGGTTTCAAGCCAAAAGTTAGAAGTGTAATTCCGGCACAGAGGAAGCTCGTGAAGACCATGATTCTTCTTGATATAGTTCAGTTTTGGTCTGACATTTCAAACGCTACTTTTTCCACCAAGGCTAAAGCATCAAACGTGAAGAAGAAGATGATCAACAGCCGCCTCGTCTGTCCAACCCTGCCATAACCATGTAATGGATGCAACGTCATGAAGTTGGTGCCTTGGTTGCTGGTTTAGGTCTAACTCGCACGATCATGCAAACGTTTTTTTTTCTTTTTTGTAATTTTCCTTGCTTTTTATATTCTTGGGGTTTCAGTACTTTTTCATTGGCTTTTTGTGATGTTTGTGGCTTTTTCGTAATGTTGGTGTTTCAGTACTCATAGTATAAATATATTTGATACCATGATCTCTCTCTCTCTCTCTCTCTCTCTCTCTCTCTCTCTCTACAGTACCTTTATCTCCAATTCCAAGTATTTTCTTTGACCTCAAGGGACATTTTTATATCAACTAAACCAAACACTGATTTGACAAATAATAATATAGCTAATATTGTGGCTTATAATCTCCCTACAAACTAAGTCATACTCGATATTATTCGCAATATGTTTTACAATTGATCGTAATGAAGTCTAACCTCTTGACATCAGAACCCTAATGAAGCCTAATTCCCATAGTGTAGAAATTGGAAGTTAAATTTGGCATATAACATATATAATTAAGAGTGCTGCTAAACGAACCCTAAAATTAACTGAGTACACCATACTATTAAACTATTTATTGAATTACTAATTTACCCTAATATAAAATGACCAAAAAGGATATATTGAATTGTATACCCCAATATGTACACCATCCTTAAGACTTGACGCATGTCCATTGTTATAACTATGATCAACTCTTTAATTTTAATCTTTTAAAGTATTTAAAACCAAAAAATAAAATAAAATTTTAAAAAGAGAAAAAAAGCTCTCTCTCCTTCCCGACCCACCCCACTCTGAGACGAGTTGAGAT